CTCACTCCCTCCGCTTCTCCCCCGCCAGGTACGTGGCGTACAGGCGCAGGAAGGTGGGCAGCGGACCAGTCAGGCCCGAGAGCGCGTGAGCAGTTCGACGGTACTCCTGTGGGGGATGAAAAGTGGGGGCAGGGGGAGGAGGGAAGGGGGGCGAGGGGGGGGAAGACGAACCACGAACGAGTGGGCGGGAGGGGCCCCGGTGGAGAAGGAGGAGGCGGGCAAAGGGGTGGTGGTGGTCAGGAGGACAGCGACACGGAAGGAGGCCGGAGCGAGCTCGGAATGAAAAGTAATGTTCGCGGTGTTCCCGGTGGCATACCCCCAGGTAAGGGAAGGGAAGGGCCTTATGGAGGCTTGGGCTGTGTGTGTGAGTGTGTGTGGGTGTGAGACGCCGACGCAGCAACAAACAGCTTTTTGTGTGGTTTGTTTTGCTTGAGACAGGTTCAGGTCGGTCATTTGAATGGTTTCGGAGGTCGAATTTCATGTGTCCGAAGGAAGGATTGAAGGGCGCCGAAGCACACAGAGCCACATCGTCTCATCCCGGGTTTACCGCCAAGGGAGTGTGTATGTGTGTGGGGGGAGGGGGGGGAAAGGGGGGCTTTCAAGCAACTGTTTCGCTTTCCAGCGGGGGAGGCTCGGAGACCGAACTTGTGTTCAGATTCCACATTGAGGCTGATATGATTTGGTCGAAAGCCTTTGGTTTAATTTGATATTTGGTGATACAGAAAAGAGTTAACTCGAGGAGCCGTTTCGCGGTGGGTGCGCCCTCGTGCACAGGAAAGGGAAACATCATATCGGACCTTGGATTGAAAGTACGCACGAGCCAATAGGTACTGGGGGTGCTGTTCATCTGGGTCGTTGCGGGAAAGGAGGTTGGCAGTCTGGGGGCTGGAGGTTCGACTGGTGAAGCCGGCGTGACCTTGGGGATGGTGCTGTTGATGATGTTGCCAACCAGAGGCACCCTGATGTGGGGAGTGAAGCTCCAGTCCGACAAGCTGCTCGGCTGCCCACTGCGCTGCTTGGAAGAGGCCTCGCGCGTTGAGGTCGTGGACCGCCAGTGTCAGCTCCGCGGCAATGTCGGCCGGTGTCGCGGGAGATGGAACTGTCGCGCCGGGGCGCTCCGGTACCATTTTCCGCGCCGTGCCAGTTCAGAATTCAACTGGTAAGCGGTACAGTACAACGTCCCGACTATGCTGTTGTATGGGCTGGCAGCTTAAGATGCAGGGCGCAATTTGGGCAGGTAGATGCGCGGTAAGCTATAGTCTAAAGTTCAATTAGATGCTAATAAGAGGAAGCACAGAACAACATGCACATAGAGATTCGTTCACATTCACGCTAAGTAATGAAGGTATGGTGTGAGCGAAAGTTCAAAATGTTACATGAATTCCGTGCTAAGGTCTTTCATGCAAATTATTATGAACATGATCAATAGTTGTTACCTCATGAATCCTTGGTTAGCCAGCTGTGACGATTCAGGTATCCCGCTCGCTCCGGAACCATCGTATCATGGTGGGCAAAACCGACAGTAGCAGTTGCTGCGTTAACCGGCACAAACTGTAAAAAAATCATCAGCAATGTACCTTGGACGTTTGGCTCACCTCTGTTTAATTGGATTGCCGCACACAGTCCTTACCGGTAACCGCCACAATTAGCGACACATGCGAGCAGCTCTGCCTTGGTAATAGCACGTTGACACTCTAGTTCACAAAATCTGACCCAGAAATCTTGCTTAACTGGACGTCAGCGCGACAAACAGCTAACATAAGGTGAGTGCGAGTAACTGCCTTGGTCCAGCGGTTCACGCCAATCAAGCCTGCGCTTAACATGCTCAGGTGCAATCCTCTCACTCCTACCTGATGTCCTGATGCATTTCACTTAGGTTTGGTTTAAGAGTCTGACTGAGCGTCTGATGCGCATGCCATGCCCATCCCCAAAGCACTATACGCGGTTGCAGCTCTGCCATAAAAAACATCCACGTTTCTAACCTCATATAATGTAAATCCTTCATTACCTCAAACCTCTACTAACCGGAGCTCCGCCACGGGCAGCCTAGCTGTCGACCAACGCCCTTTACGGACAGGGTTAAACTTGTAACCATCACGTCATCGGCGGACCGCTTCAGATCAACTAAGAACACACCTCGGAGATAAATATTTTCACATAACATGGACATTGGAGCGATGTCCAGGAAATCGGGAGCGTGAAGGCGACTCGGAGCTCAGCGGCGCGAGGCGCTGCTAGCGCCGCTGCCATCATGAAGATCAGAATAACAGCGTATCATTTTGAAGAAATTGAGAAAACTATCTCATATTTTAAAATGCACCGGCCCTTAGCGGGCCCAACACCAGCTTTTTCGGCATCTCGCGCGTGCGGACGCAATTTGCTGGTGGTTCTAGCTCTCCTGTTGGGCGCTGCTGCCACGCTGGCGCAGACTCCGTCGTACTACTGCAATACATACACCGTGGGAACTGGCCAATGCCCCATTTGCGCGGCGGGTTCTTCGTGCTCGGTAAGTGCATCTGGTAGGGAGTAAGGGGGAGCAGCGGGTCCCCACGAGCCCGGGCTCCGAATTTGCGCAGAGCGGGTTTCGGAGCCGTAGTTCCCTATTTTCTGTTAGCAAAAAAGCTCATATGGCTCTTCCCTCCGGCCCACCCGTAGTTGGGAGAGACCGAGAAGCTCCTTTAGTGTCAACGTGAACTTTAGAGGAGGCTCCGAAACCATCCACTTAACATCGGCTTCCGCACCACAATGTTAATAAAAGCAGCGCGAACACTCTCATACCCGCGGGTTGCTGTTTTCGGATTGCGGGTTTGGGATTGGAAAAGGAAACATTAACGATGGCCATAATAATTATAGAAAGGAAATAAACAAGTCTAAGCAAATTAAGCAATAAAGAGCGTAATCGTAATAATTAAAGCATTAATGAAAGGAAAAGGGATTTAAGTGCGACAGCCGGGGGCGGTGCTGGTATCCCAAAGATTAGGGATTGGGTTCGGGTATTATTATAGAGGATTAGGACCACTTTGCAGGTACTCTGGGTATCCTTAAGTTTCTTTGGTTTTATTTCTCGGTCAAGTTTGGCGCTAAAACTTAAAAACCAAAAGTCACACATTTGGTCTCGCACTCATTTCCGCATGTTCGTGCTCTTTTATTGAACGGGGCTACCCATATTTTCCGTTTCCCCCTTTTTTTCTCTTCTTGTTCGCAGCAAATAACAACTGCTGACAACTTCTACCGAAATCCGTCCATCTGTTCGTTGCCGTATTATGGATCCTTGACGAGCATCCCGGGAGCAAACCTCATCCCCACCACTGCGATCTGTAACGCCGCCAGTGGCATCAACACGTACGACATTCGTGGCGCCGCCGGCAGCAGCTACGCGAACACGGTCGTTGGTACGGCATACGTCTTTGTCGGTTACAACGCCCGACTGTACGTCACACTTCAATTCAATTGCGACTTTATGTTTAGCACAAATCCCAACATGCCCCAAAAACTTCGTCTCCATCGCGGTCTTCAATTCCATGAGTGCGCTTTCGAGGCCGCAGTACGTCGATGTCGTATATTCGTACGGCTTTTACTCATGTTATACATTGTCTGTAGACCTAACAAGCGTTTGCGATCCCGCGGGGAGGGGCGCCCACCTTTCAATCCCCAGCCCCCAACTTTTGGAGGGTTCCTGCGTCTGTGCCAACGGAACTTCGCTCGTCGGCTGTCGAGGCGTGCCCGTCAACCTCTTCGCACAGAACATGCCCCTGTACATTGACGTACGGAGTACGGCTGGCGGAGTACGTCAGCGATGGACCGACATGCGTCGGCTCTTCCGCCACCAACTTCACTCTGGGGTCGTCGAGCAAACCGGGACCAGCAACCAACCCTATTCTCGTACCCAACTGCATTTCNGGACGAAGAAGAAGGAGAGAGCAACCAGCACCGCCGCCGCCAGTGCCGCCGGCGCCACCGGCGCCACCGCCGAGTCCGCCGCGCCCGCCTTCACCGCCGCCGCCGGCGCCGCCGGCACCGCCATCGCCACCGTCGCCGCCGCCGGCGTCCGTCGTCATCGTCATCAACACCCCCAAGTCTTTCGACCCATCCACCACCTGCGCCTCCATCAACCAGACGCTCAACTCTTGGAACTTTGTCGTACAAGGGCCGTACACAACGCCGGGATGCAGCGTCGGACTTTCTGCGGGTGCTTCGTCACTGTTCATCACCTATGCCTTTTTGCCGGCATCAGCGGCGGATTTCATCAACCGAATTTTCCCGCCATTTCCGGAACCGGCTTCCGTACAGCTCCGATACCTCTTGGATGATATTTTGGCCCTGCCGTGCGACTCGTTCGTGACGGCACAAGGCGTCGGCGTCCTTCGCCAGGTCCCGGATAAGACGCTTGGCTTCCAGGACCCCCGTTGGTCCATTTTGTACTGCCTACCGTCGCCGTCACCGCCGCCGTCACCGCCGCCGCCGCCGCGGCCGACAGCACCCCCGAATCCCCCACCCAGCCCGTCGCCGCCGCCGCCACCTCTCCCGCCATCCCCCCCGCCGCCGTCGCCGCCGCCACCCAGCCCGTCACCACCGCCGCCAAATCCGCCGCCACCACCGGCCATCATGTTTTTTTGGCAACTTTTCTACCCCGCCCAGACCTCCCGACCGGGCGACTGTGCAGCCGTCAGCTTTATGCTTCGCTACAGCTATCGGCTGGCGGATTTAGCGCCAGCTACAGCCGACCCAAACTGCACCGTCACCAGCACAAAGCTCGTCGCGACACTGGTTTTTTATACAGTGGATCGAGGCGCAAAGTCGATGGTGGGTCTTTTCAACGAAGGCGCCATCGGAGAGCTCGTGCTCCAGTACGGCATCCCGTGCAACTCGATCATCTACCTATCGTACGACAGCGGCGGCGGCG